GTTTTGCGTAAAAAAGATACGACCCAGAACTATTTTTTTTAAAACACGTTCCCCAACTTACGACTGGGTTAGAGCCAGATTTTCCGTGCATACTGTTACAATATCTGTGAGGGGAGTAACCAGTAACCCGATTTTTCAAGTGGATTTTTATCCACTTGTTGACCTAGAATTAGAGCTTATCCCCCATCTAGTTCGATAGATCTTATTGTTATAAGCATTTATTTATTTTTTTTTTTAAACAAAGGAAATGACTAACTTCCAACTTATGTCCTTCTAGGCAAGACCTGGCAACTGTTGCACCGACATATAATATATTAGATATCTAAAAAACAAGCAATTTGATAGACCATCCATCTCCCAATATTGGCCAACAATTTTTCTTAAAAAAAGCTATTTGTCAAAGAATCGTATGCAAGGATGGTGTTAAAACTACCTACAGAGTCCTAGGATTATAATTTTTGAAAATTTTCGTGGCGCCACCGTTGGCACACAAGAGTTCCTATAAAATGTTCAATGAATGAAAGTCTCGTCCTTGACTCGCTTGCAAATAGCAATGAAAATACTCCACATGCTATCGTATTTAGTTTTGCGTTGTAATCAATTTAATTTTTAGGTAGACTTCATTTTCAAGTCCGCCCTCTTCTGTTTTGGGTTGTTATGCCGATCATTTATTTGCAATTGCGATTTTAAACGACTGTGAGCAGAGGGTATAAGTTTATTAGTGTGTTAAACTGAATTCTTTGGATCCGGAGTTATCTAACACTGGAATTCTCGGCACTTTGTGGTTTGGTGAGATTGAGCCGTAGAATAAGTCCAGAACGATCGCTGCTTACAGCTTCAACGCACGTGTGCTCCTATCAGTGTTATTGTACTTCGTTTTGGGGTACTTGTTGTTATGTGATCTCCTTAAATTTTGCTTCATTTAGCTATGATGGAAAATATTGGCTATAGCTTATCAACAGACTCCCAGCCTGGCAAAAACAAGTCGTGGCGGCAGTGCATCGATACGATAACTGCACGCGATTTCATTCGATCGGCTGTAACCTGATCCGCGGCTGCGGTATAGGTGTCGCCAGTTGATAACCCCCAGCGTGGGCACGGCTCACTGGTCGTCAACGGCTTCCCAAGATCAATCTTTATTCGACAAGCAAGGAAAGCGCTATACTCAATCAGCGTTTTGTTTTTTTCAGCCCAGCGACATGGTCATCCTTCGCTTCTATGATGTGCAGGCACACTCACCAGCCGAGGAGCAGAGTGTCCTGCGGCGACTGCAAGAGGAAGGCGTAGGAGTGTTGTCCGTGCGTACGGAGCGTTGCTACCATCTCGAGTACAGCGCCCAGGCAGATCACCCTCTGGCCCTTGATGAACTGTTGCTCTGGTTGGTGAAGCAACCCCTAATTAGTGACCAGAGCTTGGTCAAACAGTCTGCTCTCCAGGCGGAGGACAGGATGCAGCTGCTTCTGGAGATCGGGCCGCGCTTCAACTTCTCCACGCCCTACTCCACAAACTGCGTAAACATATTCCACAACCTTGGATATACCGAGGTGCGACGGATGGAAACTTCCACTCGCTACCTGCTGACCTTTGGCGAGGGCTCAGATGTTCCGGAGGCGACCAGATTCGTTTCACTGCTGGGGGACCGCATGACCCATTGCCTGTACACTGAGGATAACACCCCCAAAACAACCTTTGATGAGCAGCTCCCAGAACAACAGGCCGACTGGCATTTTGTGCCCGTATTGCAGGAGGGACGGACGGCGCTGGAACGGATAAATCATGAACTAGGCCTAGCCTTCAACGACTTCGATCTGAATTACTACCACAATTTGTTCTCCAAGGAATTGAGACGCAATCCCACTACAGTGGAGCTATTCGACTGCGCTCAGAGCAACAGCGAGCACTCGCGCCACTGGTTTTTCAGCGGACGCATGGTGATTGATGGTGTGGAACAACCAAAGTCGTTGATCCGCATGATAATGGATACGCAGGCTCACACGAACCCCAACAACACCATTAAATTCAGCGACAACAGCAGCGCCATAGTGGGATTTGGGCACAAAGTCATAGTACCGTTATCCGTAGTGGCTCCTGGACCAGTGCATCTGCAGAATGACCAGTCCGACTTGATTTTTACAGCGGAAACCCACAATATGCCCACGGCAGTGTCCCCATTCAGCGGAGCAACTACCGGCACGGGCGGACGACTACGTGATGTTCAGGCCGTGGGGAGAGGAGGCATTCCTATTGCTGGCACCGCTGGGTACTGTGTAGGAGCTCTTCACATTCCAGGTGAGAAAAAGAGTTAAATCTCAACACAACACTAACTTAGTATTTATTTTATTAATGATTTATGATTAAATATTAAAAGTGGTTTTGCAGTGATGTCAATTTCTAAAAAGTAGTTTAGAAGTGATGTCAATTTATAATTGAAGAATCTTTTAACTTTAAGTATTGACTTTTAAAGTCAAAAATGCGTCCTTTTTGGCCCAAAAACAAGTACTTTTTCTTGTTTTTTTTATAAACATATAAACATAAGAATTAAATTAATAATAATGTTCCGAAAATGGTGTAAAAATGATTATTTATAATTCTTATATGTTTATTTGCTTAACTATTTATTTATAGAAAGCTAACTTACAGTTATAACTATTTGCTTAAATAGTTTTGATCGATATTTCCAAAAACGTAAACAAAAGTTTCACAACACTGCCTAATACACTAAGCAAAGGCCTCTTTAAATCGCTGTTGCAATCTTAAACGGATTCCTGTTCACATATGGAATCGCTGAAGCGACAGCATAAGCAAACCGGATCCGAAGGGAGAGGATTGGCAATTTCAGATGCTCCGAAAAAAGGCGAAACAATGCAAAACTAAATACAATTTGAACGCTAACATGTGGAATGTTTTCAGCATCAAATTGTTATTTTATGGATGAGATTTTCGTTCAGGCAAGCGTAGTGAAATTAATAGGAACTATTGTGGGTCAACAGTGACGCCATGAAAATTTTTAAGAATTTATTACACCTTCCTCGCATACTGTTCTATTAAATCCATTTTTAAGCAACAATTCTGGGAGGTGCATGTGCCTTCGATTGGCTTGTGCTTTAGGTAAATGATGTACGTTTTGGTGCAAAAGGTACCAGGTCTTGCTAGGAAGGACATACGTTGGAGGTTGGAGCTCATCATCTGGGGTTTAAACTTTTGGTAGAGTATTTCGATTTTCAAACCAAAATGTGGCGATCTTTAAGGACCTAGAAGTCTTTTGGACCTTAATTTAGTAAAATCTTTTCCTAGAGCTCAATTCAGACTAATTTTTCCATTCCTATGTCCTGGACTGGTAATCTAAAAGCCATTGCGCACCGTCTAAACAAATTTTTCTTAACTTTTTATACCCGTTAGTCGTAGAATAAAAGGGTATACTAGATTCGTCGGAAGGTATGTAACAGGTAGAAAGAAGCGTTTCCAAACCCAACAAGTATATATATATTCTTGATCAGGATCACTAACCGAGTTGATCTAGCCTTACCCGTCTGTCCATCCGTCCTTCCGTCCGTTTGTCCGTATGAACGCTGAGATCTCGGAAACTATAAGAGCTAGAATGTTGGGGTTTGGCATGTTTGGCCCAAGAATAGGCTTGCTGCGCAGCGTTGGTTTTTGTAAGCAGAGTGCCACGCATACACTAACGCCCTCAATCGCCCATAGCGCTAAAGCCCGCCTAGCCCCCAAATTTTTTAATACTGTGCTAAAATTTTAATGATATTTTGTTCTTATTATCAATACCTATTTTTGAAAATGTTTAGAAACATGAATTTGAGCCATATTTTTATTTTTTTCCGACATTGTCACCTTCAAAAAATCCAAAAAAATATAAGCAAAATGATTTTTGAAAAATTCTTTTTGCAGATATTATTATTTTTGTTTGAAGAAACTTTTTGCATCAAAAAATTTAAGTTTTCAAGTCGAGTAAAAAAGTTAAAAAAGTAGATTCTTACTCAAATTCGTCCTTTTCAATAAGTACTGAATGGGTTAAGAAAAGTATTGTATCATTCAAACGGCATTCAAATTACCTTTCCATTGATGCCAAAGTTAACAAGAAGTAAGTTCAAATTATGAGTATATTTAACTTTTGTTTTGTGAAAATGTTTTTGACCACCCCATTGTTATTTTCTTTTTATGGAACTGGTATATCCTTTTTTCACTGGGACAGCATCGGCTAGCTCCGGTGTTCTCAGGGCGAAGTACCTCCAATGTCCCAAAAGGAAACTATAAGTGTTAGAAATCCTTATTTTCGTTACGCGAAAATAAATATTTAAGTAAAATGTATTTGTCTTGTCAATAACTACCCTTCAGTTCTGCAGTAGGGACGCGGTGACATGGCTCAAGGCAAAAAGCTTTTTTTGTGCCTAAAACGCTGTGCCGCTGTTGACGTCAGCAGAGCAGTCGGCGCAGCGTAGAAGACTGCCCACGAAAACGATCGTGCAACAAAGAGAGGCAGATATTCGGATATTTCCCTCTCTTTCTTGTCTTATAATCTGCCTGCACTCCGCGCTCGCAGAGACAAATTTCGGCTGGTCCGTTATTTTTTTTTGCGTCTCTCCGTTATGTTCGGCTAGCGACTAATATTTCGGCGGAAAAATTTTCGTGGAGAAGCGACATGTGAATGCCCTAATATTTTAGGAGCATTATTGTGTATCGAAAAAAACAACTAATATTGTTTTATAAAAGTAAACTATTTGATTATAGTAAAATTTAGTAAATTGAATTTACTTATAATGTTATATTTACTTATTATACATTCTTATTACAATATAATTTTATAGTTAAGTTACAGAAATTTAGTCCGTTAAAATTGATTTAAGTATTTAAAACATTTAAGTATTAACATTTAAAAAAAAATCGTATTGTATTTTTTACTCAAGAAGTAAAAACTATATAGTCGGATATATTTTCCTTTAGAAAGGGTATAGGTGCAGTGGCACGCGCCAACAGCGAAGAGAAAACAAAAGAAATCTAGTGAAGGGGTGAGAAGACTTGGTGCATTCTGTTTGAGTGATTGAAAGGGAAGCATCCATTTTAATGGTGCGTAGCAGAGTTACTTTAATCGTTTAGTTAATATAACAAAGCCAGGTAAGTGCTACATTAAGTTTAAGATGTTGTGCATTGATCTTAGTTTAAAGTACGTAAATTTTGAAGGTATTCAATGGGTTCCGTTAGCCGAAAGTGGATGACGAAATGTTTTGTGCCAATAAAAATTCTGCAACAAGCTATAAAAGGTAAATATACATTAAACAAATAAAACGCATTTTTTAAACATATGTTTTTTCAGGAGCGTTGGCCAAGGATTTAGAGGACCCGGACAAAGGTTTAAGAACGGCGATGTCTAACGTTAAAAATAAGCTTACGAAGCAAAATAATAAGCAATAATAATAAGCTTACGAAGAGGACATGTCCCACGGGATTCACAAGGTGATTCACAACCCTTCAGTTCAAAAAAAAAGTTTCACTTGTGAATCACCTTGTGAATCCATGTCCTCTTGCACAAGTGAAGAACAAGTGACGCTCCATATAGAAAATTGTATGGGATGTCCGCATTTTCACAAGTGAAAATTCAAATGAAAATTTTTCGAAGTCCTACGGGATTTCACTTGTTCCTTATACTCATTTTTCGTATGGCCTGTCACGTGCCGGTGACTCGTCCCAAGTGAATCACTTGGGAAAATCAGAATTTTTCCTTGAGTTTTCACTTGTGAAATCACTTGCAAGGGACACGTCCCAAGTGAATCACTTGTGAAAATCAGAATTTTCCCTTGAGTTTTCAATTAAAAAAATATAGAATTTAATTCATTTCATTTTAATTCATTTTAATTATATGGTACTATTTAGATTTTCAAAAATTGTACAATTATTGTTTCTGTTTTTTTGCTTCGTAAGCTTATTTTTAACGTTAGACATCGCCGTTCTTAAACCTTTGTCCGGGTCCTCTAAATCCTTGGCCAACGCTCCTGAAAAAACATATGTTTAAAAAATGCGTTTTATTTGTTTAATGTATATTTACCTTTTATAGCTTGTTGCAGAATTTTTATTGGCACAAAACATTTCGTCATCCACTTTCGGCTAACGGAACCCATTGAATACCTTCAAAATTTACGTACTTTAAACTAAGATCAATGCACAACATCTTAAACTTAATGTAGCACTTACCTGGCTTTATTATATTAACTAAACGATTAAAGTAACTCTGCTACGCACCATTAAAATGGATGCTTCCCTTTCAATCACTCAAACAGAATGCACCAAGTCTTCTCACCCCTTTACTAGATTTCTTTTGTTTTCTCTTCGCTGTTGGCGCGTGCCACTGCACCTATACCCTTTCTAAAGGAAAATATATCCGACTATATAGTTTTTACTTCTTGAGTAAAAAATACAATACGATTTTTTTTTAAATGTTAATACTTAAATGTTTTAAATACTTAAATCAATTTTAACGGACTAAATTTCTGTAACTTAACTATAAAATTATATTGTAATAAGAATGTATAATAAGTAAATATAACATTATAAGTAAATTCAATTTACTAAATTTTACTATAATCAAATAGTTTACTTTTATAAAACAATATTAGTTGTTTTTTTCGATACACAATAATGCTCCTAAAATATTAGGGCATTCACATGTCGCTTCTCCACGAAAATTTTTCCGCCGAAATATTAGTCGCTAGCCGAACATAACGGAGAGACGCAAAAAAAAATAACGGACCAGCCGAAATTTGTCTCTGCGAGCGCGGAGTGCAGGCAGATTATAAGACAAGAAAGAGAGGGAAATATCCGAATATCTGCCTCTCTTTGTTGCACGATCGTTTTCGTGGGCAGTCTTCTACGCTGCGCCGACTGCTCTGCTGACGTCAACAGCGGCACAGCGTTTTAGGCACAAAAAAAGCTTTTTGCCTTGAGCCATGTCACCGCGTCCCTACTGCAGAACTGAAGGGAAGTGAAACTTTTTTTTTGAACTGAAGGGTATTGATTGTCCTAAATAATGATTGCCAAAATCAGTTTCTAATTTCGAATTAATTTTGCACTTTGAAAAAATTGTGTTAAATCTTTATATGATTTGCAATTGAAATAGTTTTTAGTTTTATACAAAAGGACATCAGTGGGCATTATAAAGAATTGCGTTTTTTTACAAATCTCATTCCCCCGTCAGCTAAAAATGTATATACACACACACACACACACAGACGCACGCATATCTTGTTTTCAGTATTCTTTTTTTTTCATTAGTTGTCCACATGCATCAGATTAATTCGCCCATTTTCTTCTTCATTTAAACGCATTTTAAATAGAAAATGTTGTATTTTGATAGAATGCGGTCTCTCTTAAAGGTTTGGCTATTTCCATATGCCAGAAAGCGAGACAGCAAGATGTGAAGGCCATGGAAATTGGAAAAAATTGGGCTTGATTAGGCAGGCTCAATTTAAAAAAAAATGTAGGTCTTTGCGGGTGTGCCTTAAGATTATAAACAGCACATTTTATAAATTATATCCGAATTGCTGTTATTTTTTAAGATTTTTTTTATTAACATTTTTTTTTTATTTGCTTCAGGAGCTTCTTCCCTTATATTGATTAGTTAAGGAAAGCTGTGAGGAAAAGCTGTTTATATATTTGCTTAAACATTTTTAATTTATTTGTTTAAAAATAGGAATGCAATTTCAATTTGAGAATAACAAAATTAGTATGTAATTTCAAATTAGTTTTGCCCTTTGAAGGAAATGTGTTAAAGCTGTTAAATTTTTGCAAAATACATTTTTTTTCAAAAGAATATCAAAAAAATGCATTTTGTACTTGAATCAAGTATTTTCAGTGTCAAAAGTTCGATTTTAGAGTTCACAGGTATTTAAATTCAAAATGTGCTTGATGTAAGGCCTGTTTCAGTAAAAACGGTTTTAAAATGGAAAGCATGAAATGATTTACTACTTTAATACTTGATTTTCCCTGGGTGTGGGTATAAAGAATTTATATTCAAACGAATCTCAATTTCTACTTTTTTTCGGTCGGGATCCGATAGCCACACCTCCCGCCCAATCGACCGAGGGGCGCTGCGGTGTGTCGTGCGGCACGAATTCGATGACAGACGCATAGAAAAATTAAGATATAGTACGAGGAAAAAAAGAAGGATCTAATTCTGTACTAGGAAATGTTATATTTAATAATAACATTAATCGATTTTTAGTAAGAAAAGTCTATTATACAGGGGTGGTCAAAAGAATTTTCACAAAACAAAAGTTAAATATGCTCATAATTTGAACTTACTTCTTGTTAACTTTGGCATCAATGGAAAGGTAATTTAAATGCCGTTTGAATGATACAATACTTTTCTTAACCCATTCAGAACTTATTGCAAAGGACGAATTTGTGTGAAAATCTACTTTTTAAACTTTTTTCCTCGTCTTGAAAACTTACATTTTTTGATGCAAAAAGTTTCTTCAAACAAAAATAATAGTAACTGCAAAAAGAATTTTTTAAAAATCATTTTACTTATATTTTTATGATTTTTTAAAGGTGACAATGTCGGAAAAAATTTTAATGAAAAGAAGAGAAATATGGCTCAAATTCATTTTTCTAAACATTTTCAAAAAATCATAAAAAATATAAGCAAAATGATTTTTGAAAACTTCTTTTTGCAGTTACTATTATTTTTGTTTGAAGAAACTTTTTGCAAATAAAGGGAATGTAAATTCTTGTTTATTTGCATGTTTAGCAAAGTTTAGCTGGCTAACCAAGTCGTAAATAAAGACTGTTCCAAGCATCGTTCTGCGGTTGGCTAGAATAAGGAGGTGAAATGAGGTTTGCTTCCCTGTTTAGGCGCCTTAAAGCAAATAGCAAAAAAACTTCTGTACAGATTCTACACGATCAACATGAGTTCCGTATTGGGGACTCCAGATGCGAGATCCATACTCAAGTATAGTAATACAAGGATCATCAAATTCCTTTGACCAAGTTTTTATAAAGCCAAGAGCACCCTTAGCTTTATGCACCATGTACGAAATGTGGTCAGCAAATTGGGTCCAAACAAAACACCAAGATCGTATACTAGAGTTATTTTATCTAATTAGCCGTCACTCAGCGCGTATGTCTTTTATTGAGGATTGACACGACACGGCGGACTGGCAAGAAGTATCCTTGTACTGCAGGCATAATTTAACACCGTCTGCGTACATTGGTAAACGAGAATGAGTTATAACTGAGGGAAGGACATTTAGAAATAAAGTAAAAACCAGCGGCCCCGGGTGAATCTCTTGTGGGACAGCGGAGGTAATAAGAGAGAATTTTTAAAAAGTAATCTTTGTGTTCTGCAATTCAGATAATTTCAGATCCATCTTAAAGGATCAACAGGGAACCCTAATAAATCGTGTTTTCTAACCAGAAGAACTTGATTTACAAAGTCAAATGCTTTACTTAATGATCTACGTTTCATAAACCCGTGTTGACATGGAGATATAACTGACCTACAGAGGTGCTGCCAATGTGGAGTAATAACTTTGCTGCCCTTATGGAATTACAAACCATTCCTTTCACTTACGGGAAAATTGTGAAGATTTTAAAGATAAGGTAAACAATTTGTGATGGGGCTTGCACAAGTCCTCCGGGCAATATCTAAGCACGCACCAAGAAGTACCAACGGAACCAGGCGAATAGACGGGCCTAACACGTTGAAGACCAATAGAATATTTAATTCGACTTGGATACAGAATATGTCGTTTGAAAAAACGTGGCAAATAGATCGGCTTTTGGCTGATCAGTTGTTGCGGTAATATTTTCAAAAGATAGCGAGGAAGGATAATTGGTGGATTTTCGATTAGTGCTAACAAAATTATAAAACTTTCGGATTCTGAGATAATTGAACTTTACAACGATTTAAATAGTTTTTGTAGCACAGAGAGTTTAGCATGGTAAAACTATTCCGAGCACTTAAGTATCTAGTAAAAATAGATTGAGATCGGGTATTTTTTATCTGGAATTCTTATTTCTTATTATTTCTGTGCCAGCTCTTAACTGAACCAAGGTGGCTTGTTGGAGACTGACGGATACATAAGAATTAAAAAACCAATTTACGGTACTATAGATAATATTTATAGCATCATCCATATTTTGGGATGAGTAGAGATCGGACCAATCAAAGCCTGATATTAAAGTTTAGCATCTGAAAGTCAGCCTTGCCAAAAAAACAATGCAATCGCTTAGTTGACTTGTGATTTTTTTTACTAACACAGCACCAGTGTCGATGTAGACCTCGAAAGCAATACGCTATGGATCTTCGGGTTGAGTAAGAGGTGCTACTTTGGTCATACGATTGACTGTGATCCTACAAGTTATATATGTTTTTTTGCAGATATAAGCACATTTACCATTTACT